CATATATGAAAGCCAAAAATAGTTTTCGAATCCATGTTTAGTTCTCAAGAAAAACGAAAATAGATGGTTTAGAATGATTTTAGTTCCATTTTCCTCCAAGAAAGGAAAATTAAAACAAACAAGCAACAAAGAAAAAGTCAAATGAATAAACAAAGCTGTTAAAGTACTAAGCCGTCTATAATGGCGATAATCAATTGGATGTTGAAATTGTGATTTCAAGATTGTTTTTAAAAGAAAACGGTGGTTACTAAGATACCAGGATTAAAACTATAATATAGCTTGCTCACACTTCAAATAGCAGCAAAACAGATAAAGAATACTATCATTCAACATGATTTTGTGAAGGTGGTTTGTTTTAACATCTGTCATCCGTTGCACCACTATTTTATAAGGTGCTGCTTGAACAACGCGAGTATCATGCAATGGTTTTGGCCTCTGGGTTGCCAATGAATGATTAAGCTGAAATATGGTTACCTTTAAAACCAAAGATCCTTTTGTTAGCTATTGCAAGGATTTGAGTTTTCAGACTACCCGAAGACTTATCTTAACAGGATAATACTCAAACCCTTGTCAAATGAGCGTCACGCCGCTTATACTGCGTTCTTTTTACTCACTAAACGCCGGGAAGAGGCTATTGGTCTGAAATACTCTGAATCATTGTCGCTTGCAAGCGAGGCATCAACATTAGCGCCCCGGAAAGAGTTAAGTTCACCGAGCTGGCGAGAGGTGTGCAAAGGATCTGGCACTTAATGATGAGGTGCAAGAAAACTGAAGTCCTGTCGCCAGTTAGCGTTCCCGAGTCCTCAAACTTACACGTGGACGAAGAGACCTTAGTATTGAAGGGAAAATTAGTAGGGCTTCCTTGAAGGCTTAAATAGCTAATTCCCATTTCTCGCTTTGAGAAGTTCCACATGAGTCTTTTCTATAAACTTATATGTATGGATCTGTTGCTGAATATCTCTTTGCATAGGATATTCAAGGGCCACGTCACACTGGTGGCGAAAATAAATCCCTTAGTATATAATCATAACAAACACACGACCTAATTAACAACGAAGATGTCAAGAATAACCTCATATCCGAGTCCTTTTGACCCTTGCCTACAACTCTTGTTTTTCATTACTTCTAAAATATTTTAAAGCCTGTTTCTTGCACTTTCCTTTCAGAACCCACTGCTGCTCCTTTAAATGTGACGGGACATAACACCAGCTCAACCAGCATCTTAGTAGAGTGGGGTGATGTTCCAGCATTTGATCAAAATGGTATTATTACGAGTTACATCATTACCTACAGCTCGCAAGCAGTGAATCTTATTTCGTTTTCTGAAGCTGTTGCCATTGACCGTCAAAAGGAATTAACAGGTCTTAGAAAGTTTGTCAATTACAATATCACAGTACGTGCGTCGACTTCGAAAGGCGATGGACCAGACAGTAGCCCTATTGTTGTTAGAACAGACCAGGATAGTAAGTATTGTTCTTGGACACGGTCTCTCTTGTCCACATTGAAGACTCATATATGAAAGCCAAAAATAGTTTTCGAATCCATGTTTTGTTCTCATGAAAAACAAAAATAAATGGTATAGAATGATTTTAGTTGTATTTTCCTCCAAGAATGGAAAATTAAAACAAACAAGGAAACAAAGAAAAAGTCAAATGAATAAACAAAGCTGTCCATAATGACGATAATCAATTGGATGTTGAAATTGGGATTTGAAGATTGTTTTTAAAAAAAACGGTGGTTACTAAGATACCAGGATTAAAAACTATAATATAGCTTGCTCACACTTCAAATAGCAGCAAAACAGATAAAGAATACTATCATTCAACATGATTTTGTGAAGGTGGTTTGTTTTAACATCTGTCATCCGTTGCACCACTATTTTATAAGGTGCTGCTTGAACAACGCGAGTATCATGCAATGGTTTTGGCCTCTGGGTTGCCAATGAATGATTAAGCTGAAATATGGTTACCTTTAAAACCAAAGATCCTTTTGTTAGCTATTGCAAGGATTTGAGTTTTCAGACTACCCGAAGACTTATCTTAACAGGATAATACTCAAACCCTTGTCAAATGAGCGTCACGCCGCTTATACTGCGTTCTTTTTACTCACTAAACGCCGGGAAGAGGCTATTGGTCTGAAATACTCTGAATCATTGTCGCTTGCAAGCGAGGCATCAACATTAGCGCCCCGGAAAGAGTTAAGTTCACCGAGCTGGCGAGAGGTGTGCAAAGGATCTGGCACTTAATGATGAGGTGCAAGAAAACTGAAGTCCTGTCGCCAGTTAGCGTTCCCGAGTCCTCAAACTTACACGTGGACGAAGAGACCTTAGTATTGAAGGGAAAATTAGTAGGGCTTCCTTGAAGGCTTAAATAGCTAATTCCCATTTCTCGCTTTGAGAAGTTCCACATGAGTCTTTTCTATAAACTTATATGTATGGATCTGTTGCTGAATATCTCTTTGCATAGGATATTCAAGGGCCACGTCACACTGGTGGCGAAAATAAATCCCTTAGTATATAATCATAACAAACACACGACCTAATTAACAACGAAGATGTCAAGAATAACCTCATATCCGAGTCCTTTTGACCCTTGCCTACAACTCTTGTTTTTCATTACTTCTAAAATATTTTAAAGCCTGTTTCTTGCACTTTCCTTTCAGAACCCACTGCTGCTCCTTTAAATGTGACGGGACATAACACCAGCTCAACCAGCATCTTAGTAGAGTGGGGTGATGTTCCAGCATTTGATCAAAATGGTATTATTACGAGTTACATCATTACCTACAGCTCGCAAGCAGTGAATCTTATTTCGTTTTCTGAAGCTGTTGCCATTGACCGTCAAAAGGAATTAACAGGTCTTAGAAAGTTTGTCAATTACAATATCACAGTACGTGCGTCGACTTCGAAAGGCGATGGACCAGACAGTAGCCCTATTGTTGTTAGAACAGACCAGGATAGTAAGTATTGTTCTTGGACTCGGTCTCTCTTGTCCACATTGAAGACCCATATATTAACGAAAAATAGTTTTCGAATCCATGTTTAGTTCTCAAGAAAAACGAAAATAGATGGTTTAGAATGATTTTAGTTCCATTTTACTTCAAGAATGGAAAATTGAAACAAACAAGGAAACAAACAAACAATCAAATGAATGAACAAGGGTGTGAAAGTCGGAAGCCGCCATAATCGCGATAATCTATTGGAAGTTGAGATTGTTTTTAAAGGAAAACGGTGGTCACTAAGGTACCAGGGTTAAAATCATGATAGCTTGCCTACTCTTCAAATGGCAGATGAAGAATGCTGCCATTAAACATAATGTTATGATGACGGTTTGTTTTAACCTCTATCATCAGTTACATTATTACTTTTTAAGTTCCCACTTGAGCAACCTGAGTATGATACGATGGTTTCCTTTGGGTT